AGCCCAAGGGCTGCCATTACTTCGAGTTCGAGAAATCATTCTCACTCGACTGCAAAGCCTAAGGGATGCAATACTTCGAGTTCGTGAAAATCCTCACTCGACTGCTAAAGCCCAAGGGCTACCTTATTTTGAGTTTGAGCAAATCCTCACTCGACCATAAAGCCTAAGGGCTACCCTAACTCGAGTTCGAGCAACCATTCTCACTCAGAGACTATTTATCAAGCCCAAGGGCTACCTTGATTCAAGATCAAATTATTACCCCGAATCTAGGACTACGTATTAAGTCTAAGGGCTACCTTAATTTGAGTTCGAACATTCACTCAAGGCTTACCGATCAAAAGCGATCGAGGGCAGTACTTACTATGAATCCTTACCATCTCAACCTTGGACCTTCGAATACAACTTCATAGTTTTATGCTAAGGCGCTTTGACCTTTGTATAAATCAACAAAAGACAACAGATTCAGAAGCCATGGAAGGGAAAAAGTTATATATATACATCAAAATCTTTTACAAAGGCAACACAGCCCGAAAGAAGTTATTTACAAAGGCCGAAGTAGCCTCGATAGAAATAACAAAAACTAGTTAAGATCCTAAATGGCTTGGTCTTCATCGCAGACCACGTCCTCGGGATCTTCCTCACCTTCAGATTCGTTCGAGCTATTGGAGTCTTCCTCAGGAAAGGCCAACCTTCGAGCCCTGTTTTTCTCTGCCTTGGCATTTTCAATTTCGGCCTCGACATCGAAGCCCTGAGCACTGACCTCCTCGATATCTTCTCTCTGAGCCTTCCATTTAGCATGTTCGACCATGCTCTTGGCCTTGGCCTGATTAACCTCAACGTCATTCCTGAACTGGGCCACTTTAGCATCAGCTCTTTTATTAGCCTCGGTCACCTCAGATCTGACTACTTCAAGTTCATTAGCCAAGCTTGCCTTATCTGAAGTGGACAAATCTAACCGGCTTTGAAGCTCTTTAACCCTCTCGATCTGCACCGAGGTATTTTCTTTTACAGCCCGAAGCTAGGCCTCAGCCGACTCCAATTGCGCTTGAACAGCCTCCTTTTTGGAGGCAAGGATATCCATATTTTCTTTGAATTTTTCCCATTCGGCCATTAGCTCATCTACCTGCAAATTGAGCCGTCCGATCTGTTCAAGCCTCTGTCGAACCTGCAGAATCGGATTGTCAGTGGTTATCTCCAATTCGTCTTTACTATCGTGAAGAATTCGGAATACTTGATCGCCCATCTCCTCGTGCTCATCACGAGCCGCTGCCAAATCTGCTTGAAGCTTCTCGCTAAGAAGTTTATAGGAGTCACTCTTCTCAGTGAGCTCCCGAACCTCGGCCTCATTCTCCTCTCGGATTCGGAGGAAAGCCTCGTGATGCAACACTGAAGCCTACAAACATGGAAAAATGTTAGAATTACCTGCAACAAGTATAAACAGCATAGATGCCATCGAAGTTACCCGATTCAGAGCATGCTGGGCCTCGTTGAAAAGGCAGGCGGGTCCTACCGCATTTATCACTGCTTGATCCTCTTCGGTCACTAGGGACCGAAGGTAACTAGCAACCCTTGGGGGAGAGAAAATTCGGGTATCACCACCGTTCGCCTACGATCAGGATCAATACTCGGGGCCAGGAATCGGTCCACCAGTTTTGGAACCGATGAAGACCTGGTAGAGCCTGACCATTATATTTTCTTTGGAATCGGTAATCCACCAAACCCGATAACCTCCTCCGAGGCAGCTGACTCGAGCCCATCCAGAAAACTGTGGATATCGGTCGACTCCTGAATGCCCTCGTAGGATCGACCTTCCATCATACTGTCCTCACAGATCATAGCATCCGAAATCTGAGGGGATCCGCTGACATCAACTATCCCGAGCTCATCCCTTGAGATATCTTTTGCTGCTCGAGAAGTCCTACCCTCGGTCTCCCCTTCGACCATCCCAGCTCGAGACCGAATAGTCTTGGTTTTTTCTTGTTCCGGAATTATGGCCAGGGTTCCCTTATTCACTTCCGCTGATTCTGAAGATTGTTGTATCACAACATTAGCCCGTACACCAGCTAATTCCTTTTCTACTTCTTCGGGCTCGTCCCTTAATCGGTGGATAGATTCCGGAAGCATAACACTAGGGCCCCCCTTTAGCTTGCTATATTTCTTCGCCGGTTTTTTCTTTTTCGAGAACGGGGATCTCGGTGAATCTTTTCTATTCTTTTCTTTAACCTGCTTCGGGACAGGAACCTCCTCATCACCAGATGGGGGCCTCATGGCAACGTCCTTCCCAAGTCCTAAAAAAATGGGGAAAAGGGGGTTAAGCAAGTAAAGAAGAGCAAATAGCAAACAAATTAAGAGAGAGACTTACCATGACTACGGGCCTCCCATCGACCCTTTGATAATTCCACCCAAGCGCGCTCGGAGTACGGTCTCTACAGCACCAAACCTTCAACCCATTGTTTAAGATCAGGAATCGGCTCAGGCATCCGAGCCACAACTGTTACAAAAAAGAAAAAATGGATCAAGAAAAAAAAGGCAATTGCAAAATTAAAACGAACAAAGGAAAATAAGTGCTCAAGGTTCATAATCCATTCCTCAGGAAATGACATGTCATCGGCAGGGATCAGGTCCGAGGTTTTGACTTGAACAAATTGGCCCATCCAACCTCGATCACGAGTCTCGCCTATGCTCGAGAACGACGCTTTGGTGGCTCGGCGAGCAAGCTTGATTAACCCTCCTCGATAAATTCGGGGACTATAAAGGCGCATAAGGTGGTCGAGGGTGAAAAGACACCCCTCGATTTTGCTCGAGAAAAATCGGAGAAGAATCACTATTCTCCAAAAAGAAGGAGGGATCTAGCCGAGGGTCACGTCATATCTCTTGCAAAAGGCGACGATGACAGCGTCTAAAGGACCCAACATGAAAGGATAAGTATAAACACTTAGGAACCCTTCCATGTGGGTAGTAATTGATTCATCAGGCAATGGGACTACCACATGCTTATCGCCCCAATTGTATTCTTGTTTTACTTTCTCGAGAATTTTATCGGTGATTATACATTGGTACCTCGACATCGGCTCACATCGGCCCGATACCGATGAAGGTTTTTCAACCTTAAAGTCACTGACAGTTGAACACCCAACCGGAATGAATTCCTCAGGGCGAGGCTCCGCCGCATCCTCACCGCCGGCGAGCCGTGATGAAGAAGCAACCTCTTTTTGTGGAACGATTTTAGATGTTTTGGCCATCTAAATTTTTGTGAACAAGGAAAAAGGGAGATTGAAGTATTTGGTATTTTTGAGAAGAACAAGCAAAGAAATTCCAAAACCTGAAAATAGGAAACTTTGAAGAAGGCGATGGACTGTGAAGATTGGAATGAAGAAGTTTTGAAGGTAAAAGTTTGAAATAGTGAAGAAAGAGGCTATTTATAGATTTCACAATGACAGTTCAAAATTGACAGTGGCCGACCATCGACTGACGCGCATTTAATGCCTTGGTAACTGAACCGATGGGACGTTTGTCACATACGTCACAATCGGGTTCGTCGCAGACGTCAGCATTCATCTAGTCGGAGGTTGAAAAATCATATCGTTTCTCGGCACCTTCTTTCCGAGAAACGAGGGGACTATTTGTATATGGTCAAAATCGAGTTTACCTTTCGTGTGATTAATCAAGATTGGAGCATGATGGACTGAGGTTCGTCATCATAATATCGAGCTCGAAGACCCAGAGACCGATCAATATCGAGCTGGAGTCAATATCGAGCTCGAGACCTAGAGACCGATCAATATCGAGCTCAAGTCAATATTGAGCTCGAGATCCAGAGACCGATCAATATCGAGCTCGAGTCAATATCGAGCTCAAGACCCGAAGACCGACCCATACCGAGACCGGCTGAGACCAAGATCGAGCCAAGGGACAAAAGAGCCGTTATAGTCGCATTTGGGGAGAGAATCTTGGCAGAAATTAACGAAAAGTTAATTAATTAGTCCATCATAGAATCCCCACTATGTATTTTTTATTATACCTAAAATTGAATTCCCCCACTATATTAAGAGTGGTTATCATTTGTAAGAGGAGAGGCATTGATACACACATTCATTCTAAGATATACAGAAAACAAAGCTAATACTATTTTTTGGGTGGCTTTTGGTATTTTAGTCAAATTGTTTCCTCTATCAATCGTTTTTCATCAGATTTGGAGGTGATTAAACTTGAAGGCTTAGGCTAATTAGTTCATCTGGTTTGCATTCATTTCTTTTATAACTAATTTCAATATACATTTATTTATCTTTTCCGATTTGTACCAATTCATACCACGTATCCTTAGAACTACGTATAAATTCAACTTTATCCGTTTTTCGGATAAACAAACTTCTAATTTCAATTCCATGAGTCATACCAATTATTAGAGCCCTTTACTCAAATATAGTGGGAACAAAAATGCATAGTTAAGTCAGGTGAATAGTGAATAAGATAGTTTTTACCTTTATTTGGTAACAATATTCTGTGTTGTTTTTTAAAAAAATTTATTAACTTTGGGTTGTGGTTTAATGATTCCATTTTCCTCTTCTGTTTATAATTTCTTGGGTAGTTAATAAAACTAGGGCACGGAGCACCCAGCATTCGTGTAGGGTTAAAAAGTGTACTTCAGATTTAGACCTTTTATTTAATAGGGTGTGTGTCATTTGCTCTTTTCTGAGAAACTACTTTAATTTATCGACCCTGTGTATAACATTGGAATATACACCGTCTTAACAAAATGCAAACAAACAGAGAATTAAATAAAGCTATGCTACATTATTGTTGGCTCCAGGTCCCCCCCTTCTATTTGCCCTTACTTGTTACTTCTCTGTCCCTCCTGTCTATTTCTCACATTTTTTTGGATATCTAGACGTTTGCCTTTCTGTGTTTCTTGCCTTTTTTTCATATGTGTTATTGCTTTTTATTTATTTATAGAAAATAGTTTCTCTATTTTTTCAGATAAGAATTGTGTACATATTATCCTCCTCAAACACTACATATAAAATTTGACTGGATTTGTTATGGTTGGATCTTACTTTTTTTTTTAAATTTCATACTACAAGTATCTAATTGAATCCTCAGGACCCGACTGCTGTAACCCTCCATTCCTTTACCTTTAAAAACCCAACAACAGTGACTCGTCTCATAAAGCAACCCCATTTAAGGCCCCTTTAAAAGAGCCCTACCGTAATACCACAAAACGTAGTCCTAGTTGATTTAAAGCAAGGAAATAAACAAAAAGATTGTAAGTTTGAACTCCATTGTGAGCTCAATCTTGCTGATACTCCACCATAGCACCGCCAAAATGGAAGTAAGCACTCATCTCCGCTTAATGTTTTTTTATTGGTTAACTTCATGAGTTTATTTTGTTTGTGATTTGTGTTTTTTCTTAGCAGGGGAGCAATTATTACTTCAAGAATAGGAGCCATGTTCCAGCATTTGGTAGCTGGGATTGTAACGATGATTTCCCAATTCCTTTCACACAGTGCTTTGAATCAGCTAGACAAGCTGATTTGCTTCAATACAGCTACTCTGAAGACCGTGATTTATACGTCGCCGGCGATCTGTACCAGAATGATATTGTAACTCCGACCATGATCGTCGTTCCTCGTCGTAAGGTAATTATTACGGAGGGAACATCTTTTGGTCTGTAGTTAAACAGAGAGTTGAAAGCATTAAATGTTTTTAATTTTGCTACTTTATACGCATGTCTTCTGAAATACTCTTCATTTCTCTACATTTAATAAGTTCAATGGAACCATTTGGAAAAAGCAGATGAAAGCAAGTAATGAAGCAGTTGGAAAAGCAGGAAAGGACAAATGGGTGGTGTGTGACTATGAATATGAGTATGATGTGAAAGAAGCAGCAACTCCATCTCCACCACCACCTAAAAGGGCAGTAGATGAAGATCTTTACAAGATTTCCCCTGAATTGCTCTACGCTAAGCCTAAAAGGGTACGCTATTCTTCTCCTAATCTTTATTACTCACTTTTTAATTTAGAGGGACATGTCCTATGTACTTGACCTACAAAGTGAAAATGATCGCCTTCTTTACTTTTAATTTCTTGTTCACACCAACTAAATCTTTTTCTTCTTTTCACTTTCAAAGTTTTAATGAAGCCAATTCCTTCACTAATAGAATTCTGCCGCTAGTAATTTGTAGTCTTTTAGCTTCTTTTTTGTGTGTGTACCAAATACAGATAAATCTAATTCTTGTTATACGCAAATTTACAATCATTTGCAGTACACATGAGAGATCCAAAAGAGCTACTAGCAATTATTGTCATTTTATAAAGAACAAAAAAAAACAAAGTTTGAATGTCTTAAATCTAGCTAACTCCATTGTCTAAGAATATGTTACTTATCATATTTAACATTTTTTAGTATATGATACCTTTAGACCTTTTGCTAACGTTTTTCTTTTTATGTTCTTTTCCTAACTCTTTGTAGAAAGGCATTAGGGGTTTCTTTTCAAGCTGCTTACTGCCTATTTGTGCTTCTTGATCCTCAAGAAGTTAACAAAGCTTGCGAACAAGAGAAGATTCAGAGCATATAGGACTACTGGATTCATATTGAAGGGTAGTTTCGTTGTCTATACTATAAAATTAGTATATAGAGGTATTTTCTTGGTTTTCTTTTAAAAGCAGTAGTACAAAGTGGCCCAAAAACAGATACTTAGTAGAATGTTGGCCAGCCCAAGAAGATAAATACCCATCATTATCTTATGATGATCACTGCGAAGCCTTCTCTAGTCTCTACTCTATTGCTAGTATATATGTTTCTTTTTGCTAAGTATTTGGATGTCCTACTCCTACTGAACTAGCGTTTCGCTTCTGTAATCTGAAAATATCATAGAAGGGGCCGTATTGGAATAGGGATTAAAAGGCTAAAATTACTTTATGAGAAAAGTTCTTCCCTCTGCCTTTTCCTTCTTTATCCTTCTATGCTTTTATTTTTCGCAGAGACCTTAATTGATAAAACTAGAAGTGACAATCTGCTCAAATGTGTTATTCATTCTTCTAATTCCTACTGCTAATAGAATATTGCTCACTAATTAAATTTCCAAAGAAAAGGTTACCTCCTTCAACATATCTTCGCAATCATGCGCTATTGTAAATTGCACCAATTAAGTTGTGGTAGCTTTACTAGTTGTCGAGAGAAGTGTTTCTAAATTGGAAAAACCAAAAGGGGGGAGAGAGAAATAGCGGGGCTTGCATGGAAAAGCTACTCGAATTTCTCGCGAGTATGGTCAACAAAAGTCTTCGTAAGCACGGGCTTAAAGAACAAAGAAAAGAAAAAGAAGACTAAGCCATCTCGTCTTTTGCTAAAGTTTTTCCTTTCTGATAGAGTATGTTTTGTTTTTTCTTTCGCTAAAAGAGGAATGAAGGGTCTTATAAGGAAATAATTAAAGGTGAGTGAAAGCATTGAACGAGTTGAAATGCGAAAATGCTAAAAGGAGAAGTAAATTAAAGTGCATGGAATAAATAGTCTCTACAACATGGATGCGCCTTTTCTTAGACGAGTTCCATGTAGCATATATTATATGAATACTCAATCTTTATTGTTCACTGGCTAGACAACCAGCACTTGAACGTCAGGTTGTGCCGATATTCAGCTCATCAGTTTGGACCCGTGGCTGAATCAGAATTTTGCACAAATTTTTCAATTTGAAACGAAAGTAACCAACTCGAAAAGGAAATACATACTCCTATAACTTAGTCATTATAGTTTATAGATGGTTACTTTCCGAACTGCAGCAGTACCGGACTAGTCCTTAACGAAAAAGCGCAAGGCGGAAAATCAAAACCTTCCTATGTGTACGAAAGGCTTGTTGTGGTGAGGAAGTTAAAACCCACTAAGTGTGAGCCGTTCGTGGTAATCGAAGGTTAAAATCACACATGAGTGCATGTGAAAAATCACTTAGTTGCGTGTGCTCAAGAAAATTAAACTTGAGCTAGTGGAACCCTTCGAGCAAAGGGAAACTGGACATAGGCGTGGCCCAACTAGTATAAAATTGAGTTTAATCTGGAATTTTCAGAAATCACTATTATTTAGTGTTATTAACCTTCTATAACTATCATATACATAATTACTTTTTATAGCTACAATTCAATTGTTACAATAGTGTATTCACATGTATTCGCGATGATGTATTCATGAATACATCAGCACAACGCGCCTAAAATCAGAGTTGTCCAGATGTACGCGCATATATTCACATGTATTCGCGCTGCTGTATTCATCAATACAGCAGTAAAAAGCGCCTAAATCAGGTTAGTCCAGCTGTACGCGCATGTATTCACATGTATTCGCGCCATGTATTCATGAATACAGCAGAAAAAAACGCTTAAAATCAGGGCAGTCCAGCTGTACGCGCATGTATTCACATGTATTCGCGCCATGTATTCATGAATACAGCAGAAAAAAACGCTTAAAATCAGGGCAGTCCAGCTGTACGCGCATGTATTCACATGTATTCGCGCCATGTATTCATGTATACAGGTGTACGCACATGTATTCACATGTATCCGCGCCATGTATTCATGAATACAGTAACGGCAATCCCTTAAAAATAGGTATGTTCAGCTGTCTAAGAGAGAGGAAAAACATAAATAGTGTATTTCATACCTTATTTCATGCTTCAATGGTAGTATATACTATAAAATACTTATTTTTTTATAAAATATAAAAGGTAGCTATAGAAAATAATATTTTAAAATAATTTTGATTTATAATAAATAGGGTATGAGGTAAAATTTCCTTTATTCTTCGCCATCTTAATATCTTTATTTGCACATCTGTAGTAAACAATTTTCCCGAAGGTCGATAATTTTCCCAAAAAGTGTATTTTCACAAGAACGTAAAGTTTTAGTTAACTATGACTATTACTAATAGTTGACTCAGTATTTGCAAAATATTTGAAAACGCAAGAAACATCATCATGGCTCTTGCGTGTTTTAACCGCGAGCATAATTACTTTATGGATCTGTTGAACTGAGACAAAACCTGAATTTTAAGGCTCTAAAGAAAGCATGTGGGAGGGCCAAAAGCGAAAAGAAAAGCTTGAGGTTTTCGTGATTGATTCTGGACTGCCAAGTGCCAAGGCCCTCTTCATTAAGATGAGGGAAACAAACCCATTAAAAAGGGTTAGGGTGTAAAAATGAAACCGATAAATCGCACCAATCCGATAATTCGAGTCAAACCGAGAAAAAAAATTCGATTATGATTTGGTTTGATTGGTCTGGTGTTGGGAAAAAAATCCCGACGATATTTGGTTTGGTTTGGTTTTAACTAAAAAAAGTCGAACCGAAACTAAACCAACCCGACATTATATGTATAAAAGTTTTAAATATATTTAATACATAAAAATATTTATTGTAGTGTAGTTTATAAATATTTCTTAAGCTTTTTCATAATTTTATCATTTAACGTATTATTTCAAGCTTGGACTTATAATTTTTGGATGCTCCAATAAGTTTTATAGTCCATAAATGTTAGTAACTCAAATAAATCTTAAACCAGAATCAAATCAATACTAATGATAATAAAAGACATTCAATTCAATTGTACAATGAATGAAAATAGTGTTTGATATCTATTTTTTAGTTTTTCCATAGTTTAGATAAAATGCATAACTTATTTTTCTTTTAGTGTTTAGTCATGTAAATAATAGTACTTATTAGTCGTACTTATTTTAGCAATTTATTAGTAATTTTAAATTATGTTTGTTTTCATTATGGCTTATAAATAATATTTATTTTATGTGATTTTCTCATCTTTATTGTTGAATATTTTAGTACAATGCCATGAATCGTCTCATATTTATGTTATTTTATTTAAAAAACACCTTATATAGTTCTGTCTTACTAGGATTAAAGAAATATTTGGAGCACAAATTCTATATTTTGTGCTATGAAAACTTTATGAAAAAAAAACTCGAAACAACCCGAAAACCCGAAACACTCGAGATTTAAAAATCCGACTTTTATTGGTTTGGTTTGGTCTTTAGATTTAATAACCCGATATAATTGATTTGATTTGGTAATTAAAAAATCCAAACCAATCCGACCTATGCACACCCCTAAAAAGAGTGAAGTATACAAATAACCCTTAAAGTAGATGGTCTTGAATTTTTGTCTCCGCTTCTCTTATGGGTAGAACTTTAAATTTAACAAGTGTTGCTCTCTCGCTTGCCCCATGGATAATAATTTAAACTTTTAACCTTAAAGTTCTACTCACGAGTCAAATGGGGTCAAAAGTTAAAGATCACGCTACTAAGTGCCATGTCTCAGGATTAAGTGTAATGGAGGCTCGATAGAATTTCCTTAGAATTTCATTTTCTGCACTCACTAGGAAATCTTCTTTGTACCTGTAACATAAAAAGTACAAACGTTATAGTTCAAACTGAAGGAGGTTACACGTATAGAACTGTTAAGCTATGATCTTCACTTTCAAAAACTTCTTTTTTCGAGTGAAATTAATGCCCAAACACTACTAGAACTTTCACAAACTTATCTTTTACTTAAACATCGAATACTTTTTTCCCCCTCAATATCAACTCATACTGTCCAAATGAATGCGTGTGGGAGGGCCTAAACCGAAAAGAATATGTTGACAGAAAGTAAAGTAAAAACTAGTAAATAATTTCAGTTGAATAGACAAAATTAGACATGAAAAAAGTAAAGCTTTGAAGATTAACATTTATTCAATCAACATTGTAGTGGCAACTGGAGGAGAAGGGAGCAAACCCATTCCAAGTAGGACTAACTATTCTTCAAGGCCCAACAGAGTGTTCTTAGGCAATCCATTTATTGTAGTACTACTTATTGATTGATCACTCATTTAGGTCGGACAAAAGAATATCATATGGTGCTTTATGCAACAAAAAACATTTAGTTGCGAATTCCCAAATTATTATTAAGGTTTCACAAAAACAAAAAACCAAAAAAACAAAGCACAAACAAACAAGATTTTGGATAAAGTTTTCAACTTTTCTACTAGGAAAACTTGAAGAGTACCTTTTTCACGATCCAATTTTATAATAGGTCGTGATGGCGCCTAACGCTGCCACTAGGCAAGTCAACTATGAACTAGTCACGTGATTTTCTCTTTTTAACAAGTTCTTTTCCAAGTAATTAAACTTTTCTTAAATTAAAAAGAATTTGAGAAATAACATATTTAAAATAAATAACACGAAAGCAATTGTGTGCAATCATAATCATAGAACAAAACCAAAACCGCAAGTCTACTAATGTGTGTCAAAACTTGGTGTCACAAGTGTATGAGCATCTAGTAGAATGTACAAAAGAATACTAGTCTATTGTCCGAAGTGAAATAGACAGAAAAATACAATCAAAAGAAAGATTCTGGCTGCTGCAGAACGGGCTTAAAAGGCAGCTCACAGTGAAGCCTCAAAGTGGTAATCAAGTGTGCGGCTGGACCGATATCCAGATGCACCTACCTCAGATCCTACACATTTAAGTGCAAGAGTGTAGCGTGAGTACATAAACAACATGTACCCAATAAGTATCCAGTCTAACCTCGAAGAAGTAGTGACGAGGGGTCGACCTTGAAGTAGTGTCAAAATTTTAATTAAGCATGGATTACATGAAAAATACTGAAAATCCAATAACAGGAAACAGTAAATAATCCCTTCGCGAATATTAAGTCCCAAATTTATTTTTCATCATTTAACAATTTATATCTCAAGCCAAAGAAGCAATATCAATTATAATTGGTTCGAGAGATTTATCATGCGCAAATTATGCTGAGGTCGTACGGCCCGATCCAATATAATATTTAAACTGTGCACTGTCGAGGGTCGAACGGCACGAACCATAGATGCATCTATTTGTTACCGAGGCGTTCGGCCCGCTCCACAAATAGAAAATATTTTAAGAAAAACACAAATTCTCAATAACAATCAAGTGTTCCAT